GACATCCTATGAGTTTGGCTGAATTCCGTCCACCACCATTCTACATGGATTGGCGATTTGGCCAACTGATTCATGATCCTGGAGTCCAAGTAGAACCCACCTTGAGGACCAAACCTAGTTGTACTACATAAATTTACTTAAAGTAACTTAACCTAGTTACGGTCTACTTATGTTAACTTGTTCGTAAATTAAAAATGCAATCATAACATAGGTATATATAAGTAACTTATAAGTAACTTATAAGTATAAATAAGACGAAATAAGTAGGTCGTGCTGTAAACCTTGTTTATTGTTTTTCAAAGTGATTTTTGACAAAGAGCCTGTTTGGAAGGGATGATGGCACTAAGTTGCTCAAGACAGTTCACTTTCGATTGATTTGCACTTATTTTAAAAATCTTGTTTTTTCAACAGTGTTTGCTTATATCGAGCGGGCACACCGCTGAACAGCAATCAACGTGACTGTGTGGAAATATTTCTGCAAAATATATATATATATATATAGAGGTTTATATAAGCCGCCATCCTCAGCCGGGAGTACCTGCGTCTGCGTGCTTGGCACAGTTTGTAGTTCAGGGTTCTCCGCCGTCATGTGGTCTTGGTGGCGAATGTCGCTAAGCGAACAGCCCGGCTATAGTCCCGAGGATCTGAGAATTATCAGTCAACATTTGGGTTCACGCGAGAAGTGAAAGATAAATTTGGAACAAAGTTGATGGGAAATCAACGTATATACTATGAAAAGTTGAAAGATAGTCTAAAGATGTTCAATAGATATTCTATAGATATTCTATCGATAGCATAGATATTCCGTAGATAGCATAGATATTCCATAGATAGCACAACGATGCGTGAGTATGGAATTTATATAATATTTTATCGATAGCATAGATATTCCATAGATAGCATAGATATTCCTTAGATAGCATAGATAGCACATCGATAGCATAGATAGCACATCGATAGCAAATAGATATTCCATCGATAGCATAGGTACTCTTGAGCTAGAAGAGCGGTCACACCGCTAAGCAACCCATGACTTAATTACAGATTACAGCGGGCACACAGCAGGCTTTGGCTCCGGCTTCTTCTTCGGCGTCTGTCGCAAAAGCGGCGCCACAGGATCCATTGCAGCTATACCCTTGTTCAATAAAGCCAACACTTCTGACATTTCTTTCATTTTTCCTTGGCGTGAATTTACATTTGTATGGCTTGGAACCTATTCAGCTGTTGCTTGGTAAAGTTGTAAATATAGTACGCATTCAGGAAAAATACAAAAACAAAACAGCCGACACGAAAAGTACAAACATATCATCAAACTCGTTCACATTCCGAAATAAAATGCAAAAAAGCCAATAAATCTGCAAAATAACCACATGTACATCGATTTTTTCAAAAACCTTGCAAATTTACGCAAAACTTCTGGAAAGACACTGCAAACATTAAAATTCACAAGGAAAATACAACTAGGATAAGTAAAAATAAGTAGATATAAGTAGAAATAAGTTACTTGTCCTACTTAAACATAAATTTCCAAAAATTAGGCAAACCTGCTTATGTTAACTAACTTATCTGGGCCTTAAGTAGGTACAAGTAGGTTATAAGTTCACCAATCCCTAACCCTACTTATAAGTTACTTAACCATGTTAAAACATACCCCTTACTCTACCATGGGGCATCCGGACACCCATTTCATAGAGGATTTGTGTTTATAAAATGGACGTCTGCAAAAAGAGTTTATATATAATGATGGCCGTATGTGTCTCCAAGTTTGGTATATAATGATGGTGCTTCTAAGGTATCAAAAAGGATCAAAGAACTCTGGAGAAGTGGCATGCTTCTAAAATGATAGGCTCCAGGATCAATAAGCACCAGTAAAGCTTGTCCTGAAACCTTTATGAAATGACAAATCCACAAGCAAACCTGGGCGACCCCATCACTCCATCTTTGGGCTACTACTTCTTAGGACTCTGGGGTGTAGAAGTCAAAAAGTGTGGTTTTGATTGGGTTTCCAGTTCCTCTCAGGCTCCTGGGGGAAGAAAACCCAGCTGAATTGAACACATATTTATAAAATGACCTGGTAGTTTCAAAAATTGCAAAATATGCAAAAACTATTTGGAGATATCATTTTATAAATGGTATCCCCTGTTCAACAGGGGATCTAGGTCAGCAACCCTGGTGACCCAAATGGTTCAGGTATCTTTGGGCTACTACCTCTTAGGACTCTGGGGTGTAGAAGTCAAAAGGTGTGGTTTTGACTGGGTTTCCAGTTCCTCTCAGGCTCCTGGGGGAAGAAAACCCAGCTGAATTGAACACATATTTAAAAAATGATCTGGTAGTTTCAAAAATTGCAAAATATGCAGAAATTGCTTGGAGCTATCATTTTATAAACAGAGATCCCCTGTTCAACAGGGGATCTAGGTCAGCAACCCTGGGGGCCCAAATG